ACTTTTCACTATATCTCAACAGATATAGCTGGGTTAGATTGGAATCAAACTTATCCTACCATGGTGGAAGAGCAGTATATAACTTTTCACTATATCTCAACAGATATAGCTGGGTTAGATTGGAATCAAACTTATCCTACCATGGTGGAAGAGCAGTATATAACTTTTCACTATATCTCAACAGATATAGCTGGGTTAGATGGGGATCAAACTTATCCTACCATGGTGGAAGTGCAATATTCAACTTTTCACTATATCTCAATAGACATAGCTGGGTTAGATGGGGATCATACTTATCCTACCGTGATGGAAGAGCAATATTTAACTTTTCACTATATCTCAATAGACATAGCTGAGTTAGATGGGGATCAAACTTATCCTACCATGGTGGAAGTGCAATATTCAACTTTTCATTATATCTCAATAGCCATAGCTGGTTTACATGGGGATCAAACTTATCCTACCATGTTGGAAGTGCAATATTCAACTTTTCACTATATCTCAATAGACATAGCTGGGCTAGATGGGGATCATACTTATCCTACCGTGATGGAAGAGCAATATTTAACTTTTCACTATATCTCAATAGACATAGCTGGTTTAGATGGGGCCATGGTAGGATAAGTTTGATTCTATTGAGATATAGTGAAAAGTTAAATATTGCACTTCCATTTGATTCCCATCTAACCCAGCTATGTACCAAACTTATCCTACCATGGTGGAAGTGCAATATTTAACTTTTCACTATATCTCAATAGACATAGCTGGGTTAGATGGGAATCAAACTTATCCTACCATGGTGGAAGTGCAATATTTAACTTTTCACTATATCTCAATAGACATAGCTGGGTTAGATGGGGATCATACTTATCCTACCGTGGTGGAAGAGCAATATTTAACTTTTCACTATATCTCAATAGACATAGCTGGTTTAGATGGGGATCAAACTTATCCTACCATGGTGGAAGTGCAATATTCAACTTTTCACTATATCTCAATAGACATAGCTGGGCTAGATGGGGATCAAACTTATCCTACCATGGTGGAAGTGCAATATTCAACTTTTCACTATATCTGAATAGACATAGCTAGGTCACAGTCAAGATAAGATAGTAAATCTATTCAGATGCATATATGTATATTTATACACATATGTTTTTTCTATGTTTTATGTATTAATATATATGTGTGTGTATGCAGTTAGTGATGTTGAGTTTCAACCAATTCTCAATCACTACCATAGAACCAATAGATCTAGTTCATTTGGACAACACAGGAGGAGCCCTGCAGGACCCACATCCTATCACATCATCAGTAGCCAGGCACATGGGGCTTCACCTAACCTACGAAGGTCAGCTTAGAAAGAGAAGGAAAGCTATTTCTATCATTGTCTATGGTGCTTATTCTTCAGGTACACTACTGTGTTGTTATAAATGTTACACATGGCTTTTTTTTTTACAGTTAAATTAGTTAGTCTGTTGATAGAGAAATTTAAGGTAAAATTCTGCATAATGGTGTTGATTTTGTTGTTTTTTCTCACAGATAAACTGTTTGCTAATCATATATTATATATAGGATGATTTTTTTATTCTGTTAATGCATATGCGACTGAATTTTGTTGCGTATGTTGTTTTCTTTGGTTTAATCTATATTTTCTACTGCTGTTCAGGATATTGTACTCTACGTAAACAGAATCATGCTACTATTGCTTATTCTTCAGTTAAACTTGCGGTTCTGTATTTTCTGCTGTAATAAATCCTGTGGTTACATAGGTAATTTTATCTATATTTGTTTTAATGTATTATTAAATTATGTGGGTCTTTGGTTCTTTTTTGTGTACTTTGTTTTGTAATACATCTTGTGTATATGATGTGTTGCTTTTGGTGTAAATACTTTTTTATTTAGGTAAATTATATATTACTATTTCAAATGTTGTTTGATATTTTTGGTGCATTATATGCCTTTTTGCCCTTGGTACTTTCTACTTTAAGTACAGTATTAGGTAAATTATGTAACGCTGTTGTCCTTGATATTTTCTCCTTTAGGTGTGGAATATAATGTTGCTGTTGTCCTTGGTACTTTCTCCTTTAGGTACAATGTATAATGCTGTTGTCCTTGGTACTTTCTCCTTTAGATATGGTATATGATGCTGTTGCCCTTGGTGCTTTATCCTTGGAGTAAATTATATAATGCTGTTATCTTTGGTATGTTTTCCTTTAGGCATAGTATATATGGTGCTGTTGTCTTTGATTGTCCTTATTATTGCTTTTGATGTCTTTTTTTTTTTTGTTAAGCAGATTATATGGTGTGTTGTCATTGGTGCGTTGTTATTTAATACATTTTATGGTGTGTTCTCCTTGGTACTTTATTATTTAGTAACTTGTGTGCTGTGGTGTTCTTGATGCTTTATTATTTAGTAAATTGTATAGTATATTGTTCTTGGTGCTTTATTATTTAGTAAATTCTATGGTGTGCTGTGTTTGGTGCTTTATATTTTTGCAAACTATATGGTGTATTGTCATTGGTGCTTTATTCTTTAGTAAATTGTATGGTGTGTTGTTCTTGGTGCTTTATTCTTTAATAAATTGTGTGTTGTATTGTCATTGGTGTCTTATATTTTTGTAAATTGTATGTTGCATTGCCCTTGGTGCTTTGTTTTCTGTGAATTGTGGGATTCTGGTGTGTATCATGTGATTGTGTTATAGTATTTACAGTGTTTTTATTACTATATATTTTTAGTATGCTTTTCTTTTAGATACATGTAATTTGGTGTTATTAGTATGATTTTCTTTGGTACTTTCAAGGTAATCTCTCTTAATCTGTTTGGGAAATCAGTGATGATATTGTGCATTTGTATAGTTTGTTTCTATAAACCAAAACTCAGAACCAGAAGTAGTTTATAAATATTACTTTGTTTTATCATGCTTTTTTATAGGTAAAACCCTAAATCATTTTAATATCTTATCTATATTTTTTTAGGATCATATCTGCTCGCTAATGAGCTCAGTTCCTATTTTGGTGTTCCTTGTCTGTCAGTAGGAAAGGTTATAGAGAGCAGAATGAAAAATAATAAAAACAGCTTGGAAGTTTCTACAGCAGCAGAATACTCTAATTTAAAAGGTATTAACATTAAATGGACTCAACCAATTCGATATAACAGTAGTAGTTTCCTGCCAGTGTTAAGTATTTTTTCTATATTTTATTGATATTTTCAACTTAAGTCTTGTGAATATCTTTAGTCTGTGTCACATGTTCTCTACTGACACATTATACTTTGTTAACATTATATATTATTGTTTCTCTTTGCATATTATACTTGTAATGTATACTCACCTCTCTACACAACAACACTGCCCTGAAGAGTTTTACGTACCATAAGCCTTGAACAAAACTCCCATTCCTACACATTTTAATGTATACTGTAACAGCCTATGATGTAATCATTATTAGATTATAGCCCTCTGCCAATAGGAGGACAACAAGCACATTATTCATGCACTGTAATGCTCATGAGCACTCTCACTGGAACAAATTATTATTCTCTCCTCAACACTGCTTTATTCAGACATGTTTTTTCTTAAGAATTAACGTTTGTTACCTTTTTTAGTATAGTTCTGCTTTCATTAATTTTCTGATTTTGAAAAATGATATATCAATTTTAAACATTTCAGTTTGAATTTTGATTTGTGTTATTTTCAGTTTGGTTTCTTCATTTGATATCCCATTGTTTGTGATAAGGTTTCTTTAACAGTACTATTAGGTCATCAAGAAATTAATGTCTAATTTTGGAACACTTTCATTAACCACCTCCAAAAAACATGCATCAAGTATAAAAGTTAAATGAACCGCCTAAACATCACATTAGTGTAGCCTATATAATGTGTAAAGTTTAGTATACTCTAATCCTTTATAGTGATAGCACATGACAAGATAAGCATTTGGCATGTAATGCTGTTTGAATACAAGAAGGGAAACAACGCCTCTGTAACCACAAGGAATATCAAAGAAATTTATAGAAATGTTTTGAACGTTCATAAGTGTCAACAATGGTTCAGTAAATTTCGTTCAGGTGACTTTAGCCTTGAAAACTGTGATGGCAGGGGTGGGCATGATGGGATTGTTATTGATGCTCTGAAGACGCTTGTTGAGTCTAACCCAAGGCAACACACTCCTAAAATGGCTCTGAAATTGCATGTCTCTCATGAAACAATATGCAAACATCTAAGGAATATGGGAAAACTCCTTAAAGAAGGTATTTGGGTGGCTCACGAACTCTCCGATGATCATAGTTTTCAATGTGTGAATGTTGTTTCATCTCTTCTGGTGTGTAATGTGCGTGAACCATTTTTGGACAGAATTGTCACCAGTGATGAAAAATGGATTCTCTATGCATATATTAAACACCAAAAACAATGGCTCGGTTTTAGTCAAAAACCACTTCAGACCCCCAATATCTGGACTCCATCCGCAGAAAGTGATGCTTTGCATTTGGTGGTACATCAAAGGAGTAATTCATTTTGAACTCCTCAATCCACAGCGAACTGTCAATGCAGAGATCTATAGTCAGCAAGTGAAACGTGTAAATCAAGCTCTTCATCAGAAATGCCCTTCACTCGTCAATCAAAAAGGTGTTCTACTTCTCCACAACAATGCACATCCACATGTGGCACGTTTGATGCAACAGAACATTATGGAGTTGGGTTGGGAAGTTCTCCCTCACCCACCATATTCTCCAGATATGGCACCGTCAGATTACCATCTTTTTTGTTCGCTGCAACACTGTCTTAATGGAAAAACATATGCAAATGTGGAAGGTGTTAAAGAGGACATCGACATGTCCTTTGCTTCAAAGCCAAGTGATTTTTTTAATCAGGGCATTAACAATTTGATTGTAAGATGGAAAAGCATTATCAATAAGAATGGAGACTATTTTATTTAATAAATGTTTTGTTTTGATATATAAGTTGTTCGGGTTTTTTCATCTAAAACAAAAGCGACATTAATTTCTTGACGACCTAATATTTCTGGTTATTTTAACCAAACATACAGGTTTCATTAAGTGCTTTTCAGTGTCATCACTAGGCCAGTGACCTAAGCCCATTACCATCAACATATCAGGCCAATAATTATTTCTAAAAAGAAAAGAAAATCAGATGGTTTTTGTGGATTATTTGACACTTCTCAGTAATAGTCAGCCACTACTTTAACGGCAACTTGAGTCACTTTGACAGAAAGTTATTTATTACCATTGTGCACCAGGTGGTTGGATTCATTGTGATACTGAATTCATGAATTAAGACGTCCTACTTCTGTAATTTCAGTTTAGTCAGCTCCATCTTTAGATGAATTTGATTAGGTTATTCATGCCTACTTTTGCTTCTGATTTTCTCTTTCTAACAAGGATCAGATAATCCTACCCCTGTCCTACTGCTGCTTGGATTAAACAGGTAACAGTTATTTATATTTAGTTTTTCTTTCCCCAGTTATTTTTTGCTGTATCTTGGGCTACCTTGTTGCACCTCAATCACTTGGATCTCTTATTTCAGTTTCATTCTTGCCTGTTTTTCATTTTTTTCTTTCCAACTACTAGTCTCCATCTTTTACTTACTTGATTTCTTCATTATCTGTACACATTTCATCTTCTTTTTAATACTTTACATCATGACCCTAGCAGATTTACTGGGAAACATTGTGTGCGTACCTGTTTTCCATCTTGGTCTCATTTTTTGTTTTTTTTTCATTCATTATTACCCAGTTAACTTATTTTCTTTGTTTTTGGGATTTACTTTGTCAAAATGCCTTACTGACTTTTGCCTCCATCACACTTTTCTCGGGTATCTTTTTGTAATGAAATTTTTGGAGGTATCATCGGCAGTTTTCTCTGCTCACTTTGGTTTCTTCCCCACCAGTTACTTGTTCTTTATAGCTTTATGATGTTGTTTCTTTTTCTAGTCCTCTACCTATCTAATATCTCCTCCTCTGTAATGGCTGGCTTTTGTGCATCTTGAAGGTGTCTTATTTTTAGAGCCGTCCCTCAGCTCTGGTCCAGCAGGAACTCAGCTCTTCCACTATTTACATCTGTGGATTCTCTTTGTTCTAGACTGCAGGTGTTTTCTCAAAGATTTTCCCTGTTTTTCTACTCTCCATCTCACCCAATTGAAATACAATGGATCAATTCCTCAACTCCAATCCGTTTTTTTATTGTTCCTATGAAGACAGGTGATTGGCATCCTGTCATAGACTTTGGTTTGTACTTGGTTCAAGATAAACAATTTTTTCTCTCTCTCTCTCTGTGGTTAGTACTCTTCTGAGATCTGTAGGACTTGGACCAAGGTCTCAAATACTTTCTCCATATCCTGATTTGACTACCTGCCTTTTGCTACCTTTGATTTGTCCATAAGGTTGAAAATTAGATTCACAGCCTTTCCCTTCAAGTTGGCTACAGCTCTTTTTTGTTTTTCATAAGGTCTGTAAGGCTTTTGCTGAGGCCTACTGTTTCATTACTCTGTGGATGTTTGGTCTCTATGTGCCACTCAGTTTTGACTTCCACTGTTGCAACCTCCCTTCTCTATCAGGAGCCATATCATTTGAGGTGGCTGGTTCAGCTCTCCAATTTAGTCTTGACCTCCCTGTAGCTCATTCACTTATGTGGTCTTTCTCAATACTTTTATGGGGCAGACTCATCCTACTTCTTTGCATCTTTGAGATATGAACCTTCTGATACCAATTTCCTGCACAAAAAGATTGTTTGTTTTGGGGACTCTCTCTCTTCTTTGGACATGCCTATACACATACCCTTTAGTGGATTCTGACCAATCAATGCAAGAATATCCAGAAATACACTTTCTTCTTTTTCACCTCTTAATGTTGAGTTGCTAACTCGATTCCACATGGTTATGGATGTCCTTTTTTCTTCACATCATCCAGAATTTACAATGCTCAGTAATGACTCTGAGGGATTATAATGCTCACATATTCAGATTACCATATCTGTGGTGAGTGAATACAACTGGTACATTGTATTACTTTGTACTTTATCACAACTAAATGTTCAAACAAAATCTGTCAACCAATGTTTCTGTTCAGGTTGGGTGCAGTACTGAATACCTAATCCATTTCCAGAGTTGGGTCTCTAGAGGAGATGTTTCTTTATATCTACATCCTTATGATGTTGGCTGCACAGCAGGCTCGACATCATCTTCTACCTTTACTCAAGTTTCGAATGAGGTTAAAGATTGGATATGTAAGCCACTTGCTACTAGTTTTGTATGTCCTTGAATAATGAGCAGGAGCCAGAAGATTGGAAGTTGGCTCATGTTACTCCTACTTTCAAGGAAGGTGACAAAAATTATAGGCCTATTATCCATACATCAATGGTGGGAAAAGTTTTTGAAAGGCTTTACAGATTCATTTAACAAAGTGTAAAAGTTTGTCAGATAGTCAACATGGTTTCACTAGGGGAAAATCTTACCTTATTAATCTTCACAGAGGTTCTCTGAAGATGAATTGTTTATTTTTTATTTTTTTTACATGTCTTACATTCACCTTATTCAGTCTGTATTATGGAAACAATGGAACCCACCAATGGCTGATTCTCTCTTCCAAACTCTGTGTTGAATGGGGATTAACTTAGGGTCTGCTGTTGAGATGCAATGTTTTGTGAGACTGTTTTGGCAGTATATATCAATTTTACCTTCCAGACTGTACTTCAGGAAAACAAAAACAGGCTACTCCAAGTGTAAACCAACCCTCACACCAGGCTATCACCCATTGTCTCTATTTGTGGTAACCCATTTAACAGTCAAACAGTATGAGACCCTATGAAGATGTATTGATTTCTGTTCAGTTTGATCATCTCTCTGTTATTCTCCTCCACTCAAATTTTCCCTTAGAGAGGTCTATATGGAGAGTTTCCCATTTGGTTGGTGTAATCCCACTGACATGAGATTGAGTGGATGCATCTCTTGATGGTAAGTAAGGCTGGAGTGTTACTTGGAAGTGTAGTACAGACAGCATCACTACACTAAGAACCAAGCTATTCCTGGTGGTTAAGATGGTAAGTAAGACTGAAGTGTTGCTTGGATGTGTAGTACAGGCACCATAACTACACTAAGAATTAAGCTATTCCTAATTGTTAGGATGGTAAGTAAGGCTGGAGTATTAGTTGGAAGTGTAGTACAGACAGCATTACTATGCTAAGAACTGAGCTGTTCCTGGTGGTTAGGATGGTAAGTAAGGCTGGAGTATTAGTTGGAAGTGTAGTACAGACAACATTACTACACTAAGAACCAAGCTATTCCTGGCCAGCTAAGATGGTAAGTAAAGCTGGAGTGTAATTTGAAAGTGTAGCACAGACAGCAACATTACACTAAGAACCGAGCTGTTCCTGGTGGTTAGGATGGTAAGTAAGGCTGGAGTATTAGTTGGAAGTGTAGTACAGACAACATTACTACACTAAGAACCAAGCTATTCCTGGCCAGCTGGATGAGTTTTGCATTCTCTTCATGATAAAGTTCTAGAACGTTTTCTCCTGCACCTGATTATTCTAGTAAATATCTCATTTAAGTTTTTCTCCAGTATGGTACAGATGGTATGGTCCAGTATGGTGTGGATAAAGCAGTTAGACAGACTGCTTTATCCACACCACACACTCCTGCTCAGCTGATTGCAGGTTGAAGATTCTTACATTCTGCTCACTTATATGACACTTAAGAACCACAGAGAAGGTTCTTTTGATAATAATGTTTGTTCTATTACCTTTTATTTTTGTCTGGAGCAAAGTGTGTTCTTTGCATAAGAAGAGTGCAGTCTCCCACTGAGGCAGATAGAGTAATTATGGGGAACTTAGAAGGTGGGATATTGTAAGTATTGAGAACTTAGAACATGTGATATAGCAGATTTGAAGAACTTAGATTATATCTTATAGACAGGTTTAGGAGTGCAAAATATCTGATATAGTAAGTTTGGGAAACATAAAATACCTTATAGAAATGTGTTGTTGCTACAGTATTTTACTTTTTTTTGTTACAGAGATGAACATATCTACTATTATCCAGAGCTCAAAAATTACACAAAAGATACTTTCCCAGCAGAAAACCCCTGTGTCACGTTTCTCTCAGAAAGATGGAAAAAAAATCCCAGAAAGGAAAGGCTCAGGTATGAATACTTGACAACAAGTATGTCATGATTAATTACATTTTCCATCTTAAATAAAATTTGTTACGTGTTATTGTCACTTTTTGCTGTCCAAGGTTGTTCATTCAGTCTTGTTTTGTTTCTCTCATTGTTGTTTCTGGTAAAATGTTCTATATTTATCTCTTTTAATACCAGATGACAACATTAGTCATCAATATCAAAACAACAGGAATTAAGATCAGGAAAGTTTTGTTAATCTACTAATGGACAGTTTAGAATGTGTATTTCTTTGTAATAGAACAATTTATTCTGTACTGTTATGGTTGGGCATAACTATATTTTAGTTACATAATTTATTATATAGGTATAAAACTTCCGGAAAGTATTATTATATTTAATTTTCATATTTTCAGCATCATAGAAAATTTATTTCTATCCTTCACACATCATACTATCTCTGACTGGTTAAGTCTTTCTTTTTTTGTTACCCTCTTTTTACAGAGCCCTCTAGTCCCTTACAGCATCCTGCTCAGTGACAAGTATTGTCTGTCTGGGTATATTTAACCAAAATCCACACAGTGTAGGGCTTTTCTGGCCTGATATAGTGCTCACCCATGAGATGGGTTGTTCCTCAAGGCCGATCCAGACCGTATCCACTCACAGACTAGTAAAGCAGGCAGGGGATTTCTACCCAGGCTCCTTGTTTAGTTTGAAACATAATGCTGCCTACTTTTAAAAATAAGGTTTTTGTGGTCACCCGTTACACTGTCTTATGATGATGCAATCCTCTGGACTCTTCACTCAGTTGCAGGGTGGATGTTACTTTCCTTTTCTGTTTCAATGGGCTTGAAGTGAAGATGGTAGGGAACCTCCTCCTTCCAGGGCCTGGAAGTTGAATTTTTTGGTGCTGCCTGGTTTGGACTGGTGTTGATCCACTGCATATGGTCTGACATGCCCTAACCACACTACACATATAGCACTTTCAAAAGCCTGATGCAGGCTTTGGACTGTACTTGTGTTTTCCACCCATCTTTCTGACAATTCCCCTCCTTTCCCTTCTGGGGAGAATGTACCCTGATATGGACGAGATGTGGTCTCCCATAAATGTGCCCCTATACTGTTCCAAGGTATAGGGTGTTGTACTACATTGGTTATCCTTAGGTACTTCTCAAAGGGAGATCATTTAGGTAAAATTTTGCACCAGTCCCTCTACCACTTCAACATGTAATTCTAGCTAGATGTGAGAGGAGGTTATGTTTGTATCATAACTTAATATCTTCCAACACTGAAAATATATTTCTGATAAATATTTCCGCTGACACTTCCCACCCTTCCTCCCCACTTCTGGAGCATCTTACTTACTTGCCTAATCTCGAAGTGTTGATTGAACAATCAATATAGAGGGATATAGTGTAAAATGTTTACATTACTATAATTCATAATAACAAGAGGTTTAAAAAAATTTGTTTCTACAAATAATATACAATAAAACCTCACTTAGAACCACATCATTTTCACACATTATGTAAAGAACGATGTTACTTTTAACTTTCATCACTTATATTCAGAATTCTATTTAATTTATGTAAAGAATAGTAGTATTAGTTTTTACATATACTGACTACCAATACCTGTAGCTATGCTGTTCTTTGTCTATCTAACAGTTATCTGTGATTCATGCAACCTATATCACTATTCTTGCTCCTGCTGTGATTCATATAAGCATGTATCATTATTCATGTTCCTGCACATGATTCATAAAGGGGTGTTGAAAAATAAACCACACTTTTTTTCACGAAGTAATGACGAACTTGGTAGGGTCGTGAATATCATCACTTGTGAGGAAACGTTATTTCAACGTTCTCTTGGGTGTTTGACTCTTCGAATTTCATTATTTGCAAAAACTTTTGAATCATGGTGCTCACAAAAACTCAGGTTTGTGTCGCATGTGCTGCTTTCAGGATGGTTCATAAACTAGTTGCAGACATGCTCCAAGAATTGACACATCGCAATGTCAGATTTGAAAAATCCGATAAATGCCTAAAATATTTCAGAATTGTTGAATTTGAAAGAGTTGTCCATGAAAAAGTGGTGGAATGTGGATAGAGAACTCTCCAAATTTAAATCCCGCTGAAAATGTCAGAGCTATCGTTCAATAATACACAACATAAATGTTGGAAACTTTGCCTAAATTTGACACACAAACTTGAAACCTTGATTCGTGTTCTCACTGATGTGCTTACAGAGACAGTCACAAAAACAGACATGTTTGTTGCATTGCTGAAATCTTTTGCAAATCGATTAAAACTTGTGTTTGAGATCAATGGTGGCCCAATCAAGCAATACTGATACTTGGAGTTACATTTTTGATTGAATTAAATTCTTATTTTACTTTGTTATGCTCTCTGGGAAAAAAAATGTGATTTATTTTGCAACATCCTTATAAACCAATATCATTATTCATGTTCCTGTTGTGATTCATATAAACCTTTATCACTATTCATGTTCCTGCACATGATTCATATAGACCTACATCACTATTCATATTCCTGCACATGATTCATATAAACCTTTATCACTATTCATGTTACTGCACATGGTTCATATAAACCTTTGTCACTGTTCATGTTCCTGTTATGATTTATACAAACCTTTATCACTATTCATATACCTGCACATGATTCATATAAACCTTTATCACTATTCATGTTCCTGCACATGATTCATATAAACCTATATCACTATTCATGTTCCTGCACATGGTTCATGTAAACCTATATCACTATTCATGTTCCTGCTCATGATTCATATAAACCTGTAGTACTACTCATATTCCTGCACATTATTCATATAAACCTATATCACTATCCATGTTCCTGCACATGAATCGTATAAACCTTTATCACTATTCATATTCCTGCACATGATTCATACAAACCTATATCATTATTCATGTTCCTGTTGTGATTCATACAACTAAGATCAATATTTATGTTCATGATCTGGTTCATACAACCAAGATCAATATTTGTGATTCATACAACTAAGATCAATATTTATGTTCATGATCTGGTTCATACAACCAAGATCAATATTTATGTTCATGATCTGGTTCGTACAACTCACATACTTATTTATGTTCCTATTCATGGTGCTGCTGTGACTCATTCAACCTAGATCACTCTTCAAGATGCCCACAGCAGTGTATACCAATGTACTTACAGACTGAGGCAAAATAATTGCAGTAAGATGTGGTAAAGTATATTTCGTACTCTACCTCACCTGTTAACACTTATAGCCTCAATGCCATCAACAACCTACTACTGGGGACCTTGAGATAAATACTGGTGGAATTCTGTGAAATCTGTTGAGGCGTGAGCTAATTCTTGTGCTGTTTAATAGCACAGTTTTCTCATTAGACCAGTAAGACATGTACAGGCCCTTCATAATCATAAGTATGGCCTTGTGTGTAGAGATAATAGACATACAAACAAGTAGTCTCAGATGTCATCTCATGTAAACATCTGCTAATGTTCATAATAGAATTTCCACTGAGTGCATGGAAAGCTAGGGTTGTTAACCTGTTTTGGATTTTAAATATCCCTGAGTGCACTGAAAGGAAGGATGCTAACTCTTTTGGGTTTTAAATGTCCCTGAGTGCACTGAAAGGAAGGGTGCTAACTCTTTTGGGTTTTAAATGTCCCTGAGTGCATGGAAAGCAAGCGTTGTTAACCTATTTTGGATTTTAATGTCCCTGAGTGCACGGAAAACAAAGTTTCTAACTTTTTTGGATTTTAAACATTCCCAAGTGCATGGAAAGCAAGCGTTACTAGCCTTTTAGGATTGTAATGTCCCTGAGTGCATGGAAGGCATGGGTGCTAACTCTTTTGGATTTGAAATGTAATAGATATCTCAGTAGCCACTGTAGCTGTTAATGCTTTTCCTGAACCTCCTAATTTGTCATATTTGTTAGTATTTTAGTAAAATAACTACTGTCTGTAAGGTTTACTATTATTGATGCTGCTATGGCTTTTATAGCTACACAGTGCCTGGGTCTGAATATTCAATCTATCTGTGTTTTTACTCCAGACAATGCTGTAATGTTGAAATCAAATGTGTATGATCGTGCATTCTGAGTTTTTGAATTTTATCGGTGCCATATGGCCCACCATAATAGTGATCTCCTTACCACACAAGTAGTGATGGTAGTGTTTCACAGATACCACGGCTGTAATTTTTGTCCTGCAACATTGACATTTAGGAGCCGTCATACTTGACATACATATGCGATTACGGCCTCTACATCTTCCTGCACCTGTGACAACAACTTTAAAATTCCCCTATCATTGGTATTTTGGGTAACTCAACACCAGAATTTCAAATAAAAACACATTTTAATAACTGAAATACCTGATCACTGTGTTCATTTCAACTAAACTTAAATCAATTGTAGCCAAAGAAGACAACAGTGGAAAAGTCGGCCATAAAACTGATATTACAGTGCAAAGTGTTGAAAGTTGCATTGTTCCTTCTTGATAATTGCAGATTTAACTGTATTCAAAAACCTTAACCTATTGCATAGAAACTGTTTGCAAACACATGAATCAAGAGTGATATGATTTATAGAAATAAGCTACAATTTTGTTGCTAGTACAGATAAACCTTTAGACACTGATGCTGCTGATGTCTTTTATCATAGTTTAAATTTTAAAAGTTTTGCAGGTGCTGAAGATTTTTAAGTTATTTTTGAATGATCTACTTCATATTTTTTTGATAGCTTTAAATTGAATATGTAGATTTGTGTTTATAAAATTAACAGTCATATTTCTCTTCCATGAAACCCATGAAAGCAGCATATGAATGATACTGATCATTTATGCTTTCACAGGTGTCAAGTCCTAAAGAAATAAAACCAATGATATATGCAGATGATCATGATGCTCTTTGCCTTCACCCTGGACTTTCAGTGAGCAGCATTGTCGATATCTTCACTGATCGCATAAGAGTTAGTATTTCATTTTAGACACCAACTGACTCATTTAATATTATAGTGTATAGTTATTCAAAGATTATTTATAGTTCACAGTCACATTACTTATTTGGTATACAGTGAAGATATTTACTGATTATTCAGTCAACATACTTGAACTACATGTAGTCATACATATCTAAATATATAATGTGTTTACTGACCATACCCTAGACATACTTATAGTACATGTAGACACATATATATATCTAAAAATAAAATGTGTTTACTGACCATACTCTAGACGTGCTTGTAGTACATTAAGACATACATTTCTAAATATAAAATGTGTTTACTGACCATACCTTAGACATACCTGAACTACATGTAGTCATACATATCTAAATATATAATGTGTTTACTGACCATACCCTAGACATACTTATAGTACATGTAGACATATATATATATCTAAATATAAAATGTGTTTACTGACCATACCTTAGACATACTTGAACTACATGTAGTCATACATATCTAAATATATATATAATGTGTTTACTGACCATACCCTAGACATACTTATAGTACATGTAGACATATATATATATCTAAATATAAAATGTGTTTACTGACCATACACTAGACATACTTGAACTACATGTAGTCACACATATCTAAATATAAAATGTGTTTACTGACCATACACTAGACATACTTGAACTACATGTAGTCATACATATCTAAATATAAAATGTGTTTACTGACCATACTCTAGACGTGCTTGTAGTACATTAAGACATACATTTCTAAATATAAAATGTGTTTACTGACCATACACTAGACATACTTGAACTACATGTAGTCATACATATCTAAATATATAATGTGTTTACTGACCATACACTAGACATACTTGAACATATCTAATTATAAAATGTGTTTATTGACCATACCCTAGACATACTTGAACTACATGTAGATATACATTTCTAAACAGATAATGTGTTTACTGACCACACCCTTGACATACTTGAACTACATATAGTCATACATATCTAAATATAAAATGTGTTTACTGACCATACCCTAGAAGTGCTTGTAGTACAACTAGACATACATATATAAACAAAGAATGTGTTTACTGACTATACTCTAGACGTGCTTGTAGTACATGAAGAAATACATTTCTAAACAGACAATGTGTTTACTAACCATACCCTTGAGATACTTGAACTACATATAGTCATACATATCTAAATATAAAATATGTTTACTGACCATACCCTAGATGTGCTTCTAGTACATGTAATCATACATATATAAATATAAAATGTGTTTACTGACCATACCCTGGACATACTTGAACTGCATGTAGACACACATATATAAACAGAGAATGTATTTACTGACCATACCATAGACATACTTGAACTACATGTAGACATATATATCTAAACAGAGAATGTGTTTACTTACCGTACCCTAGACGTGCTTGTAGTACATCTAGACATACATATCTAAACAGAGAATGTATTTATTGACCATACCCTAGACATACTTGAACTACATGTAGACATATATATCTAAACAGAGAATGTGTTTACTTACCATACCCTAGACATACTTGAACTACATGTAGACATACATATCTAAACAGAGAACGTATTTACTGACCATACCCTAGACATAATTGAACTACATGTAGACATATATATCTAAACAAAGAATGTGTTTACTTACCATACCCTAGACATACTTGAACTACATGTAGACATACATATCTAAACAGAGAATGTATTTACTGACCATACCCTAGACATAATTGAACTACATGTAGACATATATATCTAAACAGAGAATGTGTTTACTTACCATACCCTAGACGTGCTTTTAGTACATCTAAACGTACATATCTAAACAGAGAATGTATTTATTGACCATACCCTAGACGTGCTTGAACTACATGTAGTCATACATATCTAAATATAAAATGTGTTTACTGACCATACCCTAGACGTGCTTGTAGTACATCTAGACATACATATCTAAACAGAGAATGTGTTTACTGACCATACCCTAAACGTGCTTGTAGTACATCAAGACATGCATATCTAAACACAGATTCACTGACCATACTCTAGAGATGTTTGTATTACATGTAGACATATATATATATCTAAACAGAGGATGTTTTTATTATCACAACAAGTGAGCATCTTTCAGTTGTTGTGTACACACCTGCATATGAAATTTCAAAATTTGAGTTCCAATAAGAACTGTATTTCAATAAGGTTTCACTGAAACATATTTTAGGGTTTATATTTTGTCATGTTGTAAGATTTATTCAATGTATTCACAAAGAATCATGAATAAAAGATGTAGTTCCAAGTAGTCTTGGTCATAATCAATGTGCTTTTGATTTTTTATAGAATGTTTCTGCACGTTCCAAAATACTTGTTTATATTTCCCAAGATTCTCTCAGCTCTTGAAAACATAATTAGCCATGATTTATATCTCCTCTTATTTTCCTTCTTTGTTTAAAGTTTTATCAACCATTTGTTCCCACCATTTTATGATTACACACCATGTGGTCTGTACAATCACTAATGAATCACAGCTTTGAAAATAGTCACAGACAAAAATTAAATATTACTGGATAGAGCAGAATGTAAGAAGTTTATTTCAATGTAGTGTGCATAAAGTGGTGTAATCATTAATTTATTGTTTCATGGGAAAGTGACTAGATGGAGCTCCTGTAGATGTGAACAAAGGAATGTAATGGGAAGTTTAGAAGACTTAGTAACAAATAACAGATGTGGCAATATTTTATAAACTTGTTAGACTGCTCTTCATTCCTGAACATATTTGAAATCTAAAGAATTAATTTTTTTTTTTTGTGACAAGACATTAGGTAAGCTTGTTAGTTAGGTTTAGCAAGTATGGTAAATGATAGCAAGGTATTCCAATCACTCAAATCCTTCTATGTATTAAATATCATTTTTAAGTTTATTCTCTTAAAAAAATTTAAATAATTAAAATAACCTATTATTTATTGAAAATAAATTATGTATATTTATTAGAAATAAATTGATTGTGCCTTTCAATATTATTACCTAGTCTGACAAATATAAATGTGATGCCATATCAGAAGTTTAGATCATAGGCCACTGATACTCCATTGTCAGTTTTTGTCATGTTTCTTACAGTTTATAGTCAGAAGTAGTGGCTAGTGTGATCATCCAATTTAAGTATGAAAAAACTATAGTAATGAATATCATTTAGGGTAAAACTGAATGAACATGTAAAACTGAACTTTCTGGTCAGCAAAAAAAAATAATTAAAGTTTAAGATGCAAGGAAGCATTTTTAATGTTTCTTCTAAAAAGTGTCTCACAACAAAATTTGGGAAATTTCACAACCTAAAAAAGTCAGATTATATGAAGTTTTTAAAGCCCAAACTAGGTATAGTTTTAAGCAGAAGGAATAAGCAGCAGATGACTTACAAAGCAGTCTAGAGGATGTAGTGCATATTTCTTCTTTGTACAGTTTTACCAACAAATGGTGTGTGCAGTAAAAACTTTTTGTTTTGTGAAGGAAATACCATAGTAAGCATTGACATAACTTATTAACTTTTTAATAAAGAAAAGCCAAAGCCACTTTAAAGGCATTGTCAAAGTTAACTTTGTAGTGTACTTGTCTGTTCTACTATAAAAACAATTGATATTAATTCCTCAGTTTTACTTTTTTTACAACTTGGATTGACATTTTCATATATGTATTGCTGTTGCTATTTAGGAAGCAGACTGTCAGCGAGGAGTTGTTTGGGTGTTGGCAGAAGTTGATGATATCTGTACTGACCCATCAGCTCTTTTGTCTTTACTTAAGGCTTTTGGAAATCAAGATCGCATTTTCTTTATCACTCTTCATGATACTACAGAAGCTGAGTCAGAAAGACAATCTCAAAGGATTCAAAATGTTTGTGAGTAGTTTAAGCTGTCAGTTAGCAACTCTGAAAGAATAAAATGTTATTATTTATAGTATCTTCATGTGTCTGGATAAAAACTGTGTACATTAAGCTCCAAACAGTTAAGTAAGTGGATGGATATTCTCTATAGAATAGGGACTGGTGACAGTGATATAGTATGTTTCCTGTAAATATTATGTATAAACAATGACTGGTGACAGTGATGTAGTATGTTTCCTGTAAATATTATGTATATAAAACAATGACTGGTGACAGTGATGTAGTATGTTTCCTGTAAATATTATGTATATAAAATAATGACTGGTGGCAGTGATGTAGCATGTT